CAAGGCTCTCCCACTTCGAAGGCTCCTTTAAATGTGGTCTAGAATTGTGTCCTTCTTTTTCCAAGTTGCAAAGGACCTACCCAATGGATCCTTCGACGCCCAGCCTATAACAAGATTCATTGTGCAAAAGCAAAGTGGGGTTGTCCTGGATAGGTAATAGGAGCGACGCTTCGTGACTCAAGAGTAAGGGCGGGAGCAGCTGATGACACAAGTAGGAAATTATCCGTAGGCCAGATCATCCCATTTGGCAACGCTTTCTGTTCAACCTTTAAAGAATGCAGCCTACGAAAACTACACCTTTAGAGACCACGTCCTTCGAAGGATGCAGCCCCTGAGTTAGAACATAGACTAGGCACTTCTCATTTGAACACTAACTACTAGGATGGTGCTTACAATGATAACTTGCTGAATGGAAGCACCAGTGCTGAAGTTATGAGGTGGTACACAGAAAAGAAGTAGAAGTAACGAAACAAAAATGGAGCAAATGGAATTATTTTATGCCTCAATTACATTTAATGCATCAAAGAATAATTTTCTCTTGCGTCTCTATATTTCTGCATTGGAAAATCTTATCGATAACCAATATACTTTTGTCTAGCATCGCCGGTGCCGGCAGTTAAAACTGTCAGCACTTATTAGCGGGATAATGTTACATCGTTATTCTGTGGAAAACGAAGGATCGAACTGCTAACCTACGACCTTTTTGCTTCTCCCATGCTTATTTACCATAAAGGTTCCAGTTGTGTGGTATGAAAGCCACACACGAAAGTGGCCAGGAGCTACAAAAGTCTCAGGTCCAAACAGCCCAGGAACTTGTAAACAGTGACCAGGTTCCAGAACTTCAGTATGAAAGTGCCTATTCTTACTTAGCATGATAACTGAAATATGAATGCCATCTCATAACATTTCCATAGTAGGGCAGAAGCCATGGCCATTAATGCTTACTGCATTCAGCTTGTAATCTATCACATTGTGACCTAAGCAAAGTTTGCAATATAGTTTATATGTGCTACAATTAAAAACATAATAATGGATTTCAGGGGCAGCACGGTGACCACGCACCTCCAGGATTTAGAGTTTGAACCCCTCCTCCTCTTGGTGTTTGGAGTTCGCACATTTCCCCCATGTCATGCAACTATCCTGCAGACATTGCAGGGGTTAGAATAACTGGTGTCTCTAAATCAGCACTAGTGTACGAATGGGTGGGTGTCTGAGGTCTGTCATGGCCTGGCATCCCATCCAGAATGTACTGCTGCCTCGTGTCCTATGCCGCCCAGCACAGACTGCAGGCTCCTCTGTGCTACTGCTCAAGAAAAGTGGTTGGAAAATGGCTGATGTGACAAGCAAATTCCTAGCTGTACCACTAAAATATCTTGTTGTCAGATTGCTGGTTAGCAAGCCTACCTCAGATGACATTGCAACCTTGATAATTCTCCAGGGTAACGAACATGTGTTTAAAAGCTGACATGTGTTTCATGCATACTATATTGTACTATATTAAGTCCAAGATATCAAGGGCAGTGTTTGGGGATCTGGACAACGCAGTGTAAAAGGACCTAATACTAAAGAGAAAGAAACAGAATAAGAACATCTTCAGTGTAGTATACTATACAATTATTACTTTGAGGTGTGTGTGTGTGTGTGTGTGTGTGTGTGTAAATGCCCATGATAATTACATGATATTGAAGTTGAATTACATGATATTGAATTACATTATTTTACATTTATTACAAATTAATGCAATTATCCTAAGTAGGCAGGTATGCCGATGTTGCACTAGAGTGCATGTTTTGTCATTTTCAGTTGGATCCTTAATGTGTACAATTGCAGCTATATTTGTGACACATTACAGGTGATTTCCTGCAGACCAGCCCACACTTATTGCAGCATCCGGATCAGGTCCACCAGAATCTGCATCAGTGCGCTCTCTCTCCCCCCGGCTGCTAGGTTCACCGACACCCAGCTGTCAGCTGCCTCCCATCCTAACTGAATCAACATAACTTTAAGTCCCCCCCTGCAAAAGCCACGTTACCAGACTCATCCTTACATGCATCTACAGGCATCCTTCTACACCTTATTTTATATTGCACTGCCTATGACAATTGACTTCAGTTTTATTTTCATGCATCAAATTAATTCATACTTATACTGTTTGTTTACCATGTTGTAACACACCTGTTATTGCACTATGTGTACTCTATGTGTACTCTATGTGTACTCTTGTGTACAGTCTCCCTTGTATTTATGTTGCACTGCAGTCCCGCTGGGATATGTTTCATTCCACTATATGCTGTACTTGTACACAGATGGAATGAAAATAAAGTTCACTCCACCTCTCCTATTTGGAGGTATGACCCAGTCGCACTGGCTAATAAATGTATTTTCTGAATCTGAATCGAACTTTACTGGCCAAGTGTGTAACACATACTTTAGTGATGGAATAACAGCTATAACAGGTTATAATGTTTATTGCAAGTGTTACTAACCTGCCACAGCAGACTAGTAATCAGCTGCATACTAACCACCTAGTGATCTCCAGTTCCTTGCCAAGTGATTTGATCATTTTTGTTTGCTTATTTGTGCCTTTTTGGTTTGGATGAGTCAATGTTTAGAAAAAAAAACAAAAAACAATCCAGAGCATTTGCATATATTGCATATATGGTCAAATATAAGGTTACAAGCCATTTATGAATTTAATAAATATATACTACATTTGTCATGATGTACTTTTTGCAGTCATTTGGAACGTCATGTTGGTTGACTGAGAACCATCAGACATGATGGCCCTGAGTCTGCTTCCAGCTTGAGATGCACAAATTTGATAGCTATTTCTTGCACAATGCAGTAAATCTAGGACCTTGTTTGAGATGAAGATGGAGGACTCTGTGATTAAAAATATTGATCACCGTGTGCTTGAAGATGAACAGCATGCTGAGGGCAGCAAAAGCCTTTGCATGCAGTCCAGATTTTTGCATTCTGTTTTGTTCAACTGATGCAGTTTTGGTGATTCAGCCCAACCACAGACTGTGTTCTTACAAAAAAAAAGTGATGAACTGATTTTGATTTTATCAAAAGTCACACATATGTTGCCCTATAAACATATGAATATCAGCACAATCAATACTGCATACAGCAATATCCAATAAGGTACTGTATTAAAGCTGGTTGCTGCAATATTCAGGCCCTCTGCTTAGCTTGGTGGGTTGAGTGTGCAGCTCTGAGATTGGTATCCTCCAGTCGTGGGTTTGAAGCTGGTCTTGGACCAGCCTCGTCAATTTTTCTGGGTAGTGGTGACTTAATGGTTATGGAAATGCACTTATAATTGAATGATTGCTGGTTCGAGTCCCCGGCCAGCAAGGCACTGCTGAAGTACCCTGAGCAAGGTACCGCCCCCAAGCACTGCTCCCCGGGCGCTGAATTAGCTGCCCCCTGCTATGTCATGATGTCACATATGGGTTAAATGCAGAGGACACATTTCGTTGTTGCATGCTGTGGTGTGTCAACACTGACCACCTAATTCCATTTCGCTGCTAGAATTTTACTAAGATTTTTACATATGCGACTTTTAAATACATGTACTTTTAGTTATTGAGTGATGCACAATTGAGAAATCAGGGCCAGCCAATCCCTTGAATAATTGGGGTCAAGGGCCTTGTTCAGTTGCCCAACACCAAAACCACTACTGGCCATTGGATTTGAACCACTGACCTTCCAATTACAGGCACAGCTCCCTAACGTGCTGAAGCAAACACCACCCACATAACTTCCATAATCAGACAGACTTTTCTCACAGATAATACACTAAAACAGTCTTATTTGTATTAGAGATCTGCCACATAATATATAAATGCCAAGTGTTATTTTGTTTAATGGGGGTCTAAACAGTCAATGAATGGACATCTTTTCCAGGTGAGTAGGTGGGATTAAGGAAACAGGTCACACCTTTGAAAAACTATATCTGAGTGGTGACTGAGTAAAGCCCAGCACCACATAGAATGTACAAATTCTGGTTCACGTGGGAGTCCAGCTTATCCACAATCCATCATGTTTCAGTTTCTTGAGTGAGAAAACAGCTTGTTGATGTTACAGCACACTTACTGCTGATTTAAAGTTAGGACATGTGAGCAACTCAAACTAGGCAGAAGGCAGAAAACTCTTCAAAACCTGATTTCCCAGTCTTGAGAGATGAGCATTTAAATATGAATCTCTGCAGGTCTCAGATGTCACAGACAGCAGGTAAATGGTACCTCACTGAAAATTTTAAAACCTTTTCCCCAGAAAAGGTTTTAAAAGAACAACTCTAAGATTGTACAAATTAATCTTTTGTGGCCCATGTTTAACACAAAAAAGAAAATTGCTCAATCTCCAGAAAAACATACTTGATGGCTCATTTATCAGTTGGCTATAGGCCTATATAAAATTATTTTTTGTGTGTGATGTCAGTTGGGTTCAAACTAATTTAGTTTATTTATAGTAAAAAAAAAAACTAAAAAACACAAGAAAACACAAATAATGATGACATCTTAGTCACTCAGACCTCATAAGAAATACTTATAGTTCTGATTTGAGTGTTTATTGAATTAAAGACGGCTATTTTAAATGATTTAAATTTTGTTTATATACAGAGCTGAATGTTTTACGGATCATCTGGGTAGTAGCCTACACCTGAAAGGTTTATCAGATATTTGAAGCCTGTTGTCTCAAACACAGATCCTAAATCTTTCCCCTGGACTGATATTGACTGTACTTCCTCCAGTAACCAAGAAACCTGTAAATTGCACCTCACGAAAATAACAAACGCACAAAGTTACAATTTCGGGACGGAATGTTAAAGATTTTCAGTATACTATTATTGGGCTACTTCTAACTTTAGCATAGACTATTCTATATCCTTTTTTCTTTGCGATCAATGTCACAAATACCTTTGTATACTCAGGCCAACATAATGCATGGTAAACGTATCAGATTCACAACTCGGAGAGAAACAGGCTGCCGCTTACCTGAGGTTTACGTACATGACCAGACAGTTTCCCACGAGTCCTACCACGCAGACGACCATGTACACGACAACAATGGTTATCTTGACACTGGTGGGCAGCAAGCCGTCCGTCTGGTTATAAGCGGTATAATTCGTCGGAAAAGCAGACCCGTTAAACAGTTGTATTCTTCCCGGTTCTCCGAAATCTGCTGGCCCACGAGGGATGTCCATGGCTGCGATTGTTTAGACCTAGGTTTTAAATTAAAAATGAAAAAGATTATGCCATGTTAGATAAAATATAACTTACTTTATATTCTGCCTTATTCAACTGCCTTACATAATAGTACTGCGGACGTGTAATGCGCCGCCTCGGTACAGTAATAATATAGCCTAACAAACCTTATAGGGAATTTAAATTGGAACAGATGCAAAACTCGAGAAACCCCGTCTTTCTTAAGCTAACGTTATCTTAAATAATAAGGCAGCTGATCGTTACTAACAGCTGAGCCGCCGTAGCTCACGCATCGCAAGCCGCTTTCGGCTCATAACTGCACATACCTGGCTGCTTTTCGTACGACTCTCCGGTCCAGTTAATTCTTTTCCTCAAAAGATGACAAAGGTCATATATTTTCTGTATTTGGTTTTACTCTTTTCTTAGTATCGCCAGTGTGTTCTTTTCCCAATCCTCGGAAATACGGATTATTGATACGCATTGGCAATACGGAAGAAACTTTAAACACATGATGAAAGAGGAGGGGGGATGATTGATCGGTCGCTGGTTGGTACTCCTCCGTTTACAGTATTTTTTTCCTTGGCTCCAGATCACACAAAGACAGAAACCTCACGAGTCTGGAAAGACGAGTGAATAACTGTGCCCGAAACTTCAGCTGAGCTGGAGGAATCAAGTGCTCGTCCTTGTTCGTTTTCTTTTTCCCCTTTTTTCCCTGCGCGCTCCTTTTCAGCCAGATAACTCATGGCATAATGTGTATCTCTTGTCGTGAATGTTTTCTGATTTTTGAAAGGAACGCTTTCAAGCGTTTAAGATTTAATCACATAACTGAATTATACTTATCACAAACTGATAGAATTAAGTAGGGCTTTAATGAGAAATATACTTATGTGTAATATATGGCCCATAAAACCGACTACCTGCAATTCTAGTAAGTGATGATTACGAAGGTAGTGGAGCCATAAGGGTATTATGATCTATATCCAGTTTTCTATCAATTTTTATGCATTCACTCCTACAATTGCTGCATCAAAAGTATGTAGCCTATATATAGCCTACATTGTCTCCGTCTGTCAAAACAATATGACAGAAAAATCATTTTTATCTTAAAGCGCACTTTTCTGGTAATAGCCTACCTTTGTGTTAGTCACGGCCAGGAAATATCCTCTTCGAATATCACCAGGCTAGAATCAAAAAAGAAATTTAATAACACTGGGATTAAAACGCAAACTTTCCATTTACGTTTTTACTCATGACATAAAGAATGATTCTGTATCTGGATGTCTAAATATCGTAATTCTGTCATTAACTCGATGTTTCAGTGAAAATAAATACTGTTTATGTGCCTAGGAGGTGCTAGTGTTAGGTGTAAAAGTAGAGGCCATATACTTTTGTATGATCTTCTGCACGACGACAATTATTGTAATTTAAGAAAACCTGCATGAATACTGGTTGCAATCTAGGTATCTAATCAGACAGAAATGTTGCTATATATACGTCATCAGATATAAATTTTGGAAATTGATATCCATGATTGGACTCCATTAATCATTTTAGTTTTACAGATTTTAGAATTTACGAGCTCTGCAGTCAAACATTTAAATGTGTCTCGTAACAGTGGGGGCTCCAGATAATTGTCAGTGGAGGGGCGGGGGGGGGCGATAATAAAATGGGAGGGGGAATGCCACCGACTTCTTTCTACTGTAAGCACAAAATAATAAAACGTGGTTATTTTCTTAAGTTAGGCTTACACAGCAATTAAGTTTCTTGTATATTAATACAATTCTATAAACTACTAAAATACAGTTGCGTCACATACACAAAATTTTGGGAAAACTGCCTTCTTTAATTGTTGTATGATCTACGCCACTCAAAGCCAATGAAAATGGGGGGAATACCCAGGGGGCTAATCCGATTTCTGGGAGGCCAGTGCCGCCTCACCTCCACTAGCCCCGTTGCTGATGTAAAACCATTCTTAGTTCACGTAATCCTAGTTGGGTTATTATGCAAAAGCAAGTCTTAGATAGTATTTATGCAAACTTTGCTAAATGACATGTTTCAGCATTATCGTTTATGTGGTGCATGTACAGTGTATCAGTGCGGTGGATGCTCTATCGATAAGGTCATCCTAGTGCCGACTCCACCGACTGCCTCTTGCACGTCAATATTTGATTGAGATACCGGCCTCTGCAAATGCAAACGCGAGATTCCGAGGACGCTGAAGCGATAATTAATGTTTGCTAAAAAAACAAGTTCAGCTGCAGTCAGTGTACTGATGTACGTGGCTGCGTTACAGTATCGGTTATGTTGCACATGTTTTGGACCTGTTCATATACTGTAGTTGGGCGTGGAGATCAACTTTTTGTCATTTCGTTATTAAACCTGTCCGGAGTAAACGTAAACAGGCCACTTTAAATAGCCAATACTGCCCTGATCGCAAAGCAAGGCTTTTTAATCTTTTTATGCCATCGACCCCTTTCTTAATCTGATGAAGCCTCTTTTCTCCTAAAAGTTTAAGTGAATAATTCACATATTGGTGTACTGTACCTGCTATCTTACCCCGTATAAGATCTGGATACTGCGTAGAATAACAAGCAGTTAGACTGAAAGGCTCAGAGTAGAAATATCGCAAATCTAATAGTAACTTAGTTATTCTCCCTCCTACAGTTTCAGAAGTCCATCTTTTCTTTTGGAACAGGCATCTCGTTCTAAATCTGATTATTTTTTAACTCTGTCTTATGTAATCAAGTTTCAATTCATGTTCCTACTATACATCAACCCTCAAAACGCTACATTTATAAATATTCAAACCGAATCGTTTATGAATATTCAAACTATGTCATGTGCAGTGAATGCTGCTTTATGACAAGGTGCAAGTAACAAAATTACATTTTATGCATTTGCTGATCTATGAGAGCAAAGAAGTCAGTAAATCCCTGATGTCTCATGATTGGAAGGCAGCAGTCCAACCAAAATTAAAATGCTATTAAAATGTCAACATAACTTCTATGCAAGAAAAGTAAAAAGCTAAAACAAGCAGCAGTAACTCAACAGAAGGCTTTTCAAACGATGATCACATTTTATCAGTTACACTGTATAAAGTCAAAAAACTAAATTTGCCTGGAATGGACACTAGGGTCATCGGGGCCCCACCCTGGAGCCAGGCCTGGGGGAGGGGCCCGTTGGCGAGTGCCTGGTGGCCGGGCCTTGGCCTGGGGGGCCCGGCCGGGCATAGCCCGAAAGAGGCACGCGGGACTGTCCCCAGGTGGGTCCACCACCCACAAGGGGAATGTCAGGGGTTCGGTGCATTGTGGATCGGGTGGCGGCCAAGGGAGGCCCTGGCGGTCTGATCCCCGGCTGACAAAACTGGCTTTCGGGATGGTTTTCGTCCTGGCCGTGGAACACTGGACCAGCTTTATACCCTTGCAAGGGTACTGGAGGGGCCTGGGAGTTTGCCTATCCAGTTTACATGTGTTTTGTGGATTTGGAAAAGGCTTACGACCGGGTTCCCCGAGGTGCTCTGTGGAGGGTGCTTCGGGAGTATGGGGTTCGGGGTCCACTGTTGTGGGCGATTCGGTCCCTGTATGAACGGAGCAGAAGCTTGGTCCGCATTGCCGGCAATAAGTCGGACGTGTTCCCAGTGCAGGTTGGGCTCCGCCAGGGCTGCCCTTTGTCATCGGTCCCGTTTATAATATTTATGGACAGGATTTCTAGGCGCAGCCAGGATGTTGAGGGTGTCCAGCTTGGTGGCCTCAGGATTGCCTCGCTGCTTTTTGCAGACGATGTCGTCCTGTTGGCTTCATCTGCTGGGGATCTCCAGCGTGCTCTGGGGCGGTTCGGAGCCGAGTGCGAAGCGGCGGGGATGAGGATTAGCACCTCCAAGTCCGAGACCATGGTTCTCACCTGGAAACGGGTGGATTGCCCTCTTCAGGTCAGGGAAGAGGTACTGCCTCAAGTGGAGGAGTTCAAGTATCTCGGGGTCTTGTTCACGATGAGGGTAGGCGAGATCAGGGGCTGGACAGACGAATCGGAGCGGCGTCTGCAGTTTTGCAGGCGCTTAACCGGTTCGTTGTGGCTAAGAAAGAACTGAGCCAGAAAGCAAAGTTCTCGATCTATTGGTCCATCTTTGTCCCTACCCTAACCTATGGTCATGAGCTATGGGTAATGACCGAAAGAATGAGATTGTGAATACAGGCGGCCGAAATGAGGTCTCTCCGCAGGGAGTCTGGGCTCTCCCTTAGGGATAGGGTGAGAAGTTCGGATATCCGGGAGAGTCTCACAGTAGAACCGCTGCTTCTCCACGTCGAAAGGAGCCAGTTGAGGTGGTTTGGACACCTGGTGCAGATGCCTCCTGGGCAGCTACCCGGAGAGGTTTTCCGTGCATGTCCTACAGGGAGGAGGCCCCAGGGCAGGCCCAGGACTCGCTGGAGGGATTATATCTCTCGGCTGGCCAGGGAACGCCTCGGCGTCCTCCCCAAGGAGCTGGTAGAGGTAGCCGGGGAGAGGGAGGTCTGGGTATCTCTCCTGAAGCTGCTACCCCCAAACCCCAGACAAGTGGTAGGTAATGGATGGATGGATGGATGGACACTTGATTACTTTCTAAAATTAATTTAATTAATTTAAAATTATTACATTTTTCACAAGTAATGATTGGCTGTAGTGAATTATATTGTAGAGTATTGTACAGTGGTATAGTATTTGAACTTTGATCAGGAATTTTACTGGAAAACTTATTTAGACAGAAACACATGAAATGTGTTTCATCCATCATTTTACTCAACCACATTCTGGGCTGTAAGTGAGGATCCTGGCTGATTTGAATGACATTGAGTCGTAACGTCACAAACCAATACCTAATGGCGAAATAGGCATACATCTGGGTTGAGTATTGGCAGGGGAGAGTTTGAGGTCTCCACCCACTTAAGGGGACCCAACACCCCCCCCAGGCACACGCTTCACCATATTTTAAAATCTAAGGTGATGGTCACCTCTAGAGCAGAACTCACAAGACATGGCACAAAATCATTCTTCTGGTCCAATACTGATACCAGTATTTAAATTTTGAGTATCTGCCAATACCAATACAATATTTTTTTCCCATTAATCAACTACTAAGCTTTATATGCAATATTTGTATCAATATATTTCAATTAACATGGCAAACTATCTACATTCAGTGTTATAGCTGCATTGTTTAAGGATGTTAAGAGTCGGAAATTATAATGGTCATTCTGTTGAAACAAAAGCTATGGCACTCGGCTACAGGGAGAAATCCACGGCCAATAGGATTTACACAAGTCTGCGTCTTAGTTTTATTCAGTAGCAACTTTCACAAAAATTTCTATTAATTTCTATTTAAAACTTGCGTATCCAAGTCTCCAGTATAGTAAATATACAATGGAGCACAGATAAGACTTTTAAGTAGTAATTAACCAAATTTTAGAAAGAATAAAAGTCTGAAGACATCTAGTTTATATAAATTTTACTGAAATTATTTCCACACAGCTGACGGCTCTGACATACATGCGTCACCTGACAACTAGCCATCACGTGATCCTCACTACTGTAAACTGTTGCATTAAAGTTACAAGCACTTTCTCTGTTTTTTTCTTTCTAGCTAGATCTATCTCATGTAAAATTAGATAGGTTTGCTGAAAAGTGACTCCCAGGC